GTGTATGTTAAATAATTATTTCTTTTTTGAAATTCTTTAGGTTATATGATTGCTACTATACATATATATATATATGTAATGAAACATGCATAAGAGTATAGTACCAGTTGGAATCTCCCTCTCCCTCATTTCATCTCTTGTTCTTCCCTTTTTAATTTCCCACCAACACAAAGAATACAACAGAAGAACTCAAGAAAATAAAAGATCATTGCTTTCTTCTCCAACAGGAAAATCCCATTCCTCCCACTGTAAGTCCTGCCCCCCCCCTCTCATTAAATTCAAAGCTTCTTCACATGTTAATTGGTTTCTGAAATTTCTGCTTTCAGGGCATATCTATCAACATCATTCTATTTGTAGATAATAGAACACCTTTTCTTTAATTTTTTTTTTTCTTTTTGTTTTACATTTCTCAACCTACTATATATATATATATAATTTACTTTCCTTCTGATTTATTTGGTTAAGAAGAATATATAATATTATAACTAACATAAATTCTACTGAAAGATTTTTTCAATTCAATATATAAAATTAAAAAAAAGATGAGAGTAAGTACTAAAATTTAACCAAGAAAAATGAGGTACTTATTAAATCACCAAAGGATTAAAATTTCTTTACAGAAAAGGAATTATTTAACACCAATTTGAAAGTTACAGGGACCTGTGTAAAAAATCCAGAACATTTTGAAATATTATGTGATGCAATTATGTATTCTAACTATTTTTAATCTAATAAATACCCAAGCATCCATGTAGATACTGTGTAGATAGATACAGTTTTAAGTACATACGAGGCTTTATATTATATTTAGGATTCAAGAGATGCTCAGACATTCTTGAACTAAACTCTTAAAAATGGTAAAATTCATACACCCTAAAACAAAATCCTAAGCAACTTCATGCGCAAACCTCCTGACCAATTTCCGCCCAAGGTATCCTCCTAAAAATGGATCCTAACCGAAGGAAGGTCAAGAAGAATTTAGTTTCCTCTTCTTGCCATGGACCTCGAGAACATAGTTGACAAGGTATCGACTAAGATAGACCGTTTTGTTAATAGCAAAATAATATCACAAAACTAAAATTCGTAGTGTATTTTTTCTCAACTTCACTCATCATTTAGTACGTCAATCTTCGTTAGTTTCTTCTTCTAGCCATGGACCTCGAGAACATAGTTGACAAGGTATCAACTAATAAACTACAATAGAACATTGATTCCTTACAAGTTATAATTAGAAATGCAGCTGGAATTATTATCGACGACGCAGAGATAGGATGATTGGGTTTCTAAAAGAAATCCAGTGTGATCGCGAGCATATATGTATTACATATATGGTAAAGCGGACGGATTATACCACGATGACAAAGCACAAGGATACCATCAGACTGCAGAAAAATTCTTCTTATTTTTTTGGGTTCGAAGACGATTTCGAGTTGACGCTCCATTGGTGCCTGTGTAATTTATCTTTCATATATATTTTTTTAAAAAAGTATTTCGTAATAGTTTAATAACACCCTATGATAATCGATTAAACATTAAACGGTAATAACTTACAACAAATCTTAACATGCAAATGTTACTAAATTACCACCACATATTATTAGGACAACAAATATCGGAAAGTTTGAGAAAAACATAGCAACGAGAAGCATCAGCTGCTGAAGTTCAGATATTAATAAACTGCACACAGATACCATATTCCAGTATACGACATAAAGAACCCACAACACATTTAACAACTAGGTTCAAGTAACCTCCTCATCAAACAAGCCCGGGTAGTACTTAAAAACATGAATTCAACACACAAAAAGATCCCTTTATTCATAAACCATAGTAGCAGACTTACCAACAAACACCTGTAAGCAAACACCAGAGAGCGAAATTTATTCCTCCTCAGATTCTGACTCAGCATTCTGAAGCCAATCGATGAAAGGTTCAGCTTTCTTCCATAGGTCAGCGTCCTTGTTGCCTCCATTTAGTCCTTCACCATACCACTGCAATATGAATTCTTCCTCCAAAATATCAGCATCGTAGAGTGCCTTCAGAACCAGAGCCGATTCCTTCAATGCACTCGCTGTAGACTTTAAATAAAATGCTTCCATTGCTCGAAGAAGAAGCAATTGTGATCCCTCATTGTGTGCAATAGCTGCAGCAAGGTATGTTTTCTTCTTGACAACTTCCTTTGCAAACCCCTTCTCAACACCGTCAAAGAGAGCTTCAAATAGAGCAGTTATTTTTTCCTGAGAGGACCTAGAAATAGATCCTAGACGAGATTGTATTTCGTTTGCAGAAACACCTTTTTTTATATTTGCTTTCAGCTCAGCAACAAGGGTTTGGTGAGTGTTTGAATTCCCGTTCTCAGCCTTGGGCTTCTCTTGATGTGGATTGTCATTCAAATTGCTATTTGTCTTTGCCTTCTTCTCCGCTTCGTCTGTAGAAAGCATCACCATGTCAGCAGTCACAGCATTCAACTGCTCTTGGATACGCTGACGAGCTGCCTCAAGAGATGTATCAGTTTGCCACTGGACATTGTCGCCATCATCATCCCTAGCCTCTTCCTTCTCATCGACCTGGCTGCGAGGTGGAGATACGCGATCATCATCTGACCCAACTGCTTTCTTCTTTGCAGAGCTGGCTTTTGTGTTGCCATCCTTCAAAGAGGAACCTTTCTTTTTCCCTTCCTTCTTCAGTTTCTTCAGCTCTTCGTCAGCAGCTTCACCCTCCTTCAATCGTTCTTTCTCTGCTCTCCTCATTGCCTTCTTGTCTTTGGATCCCTTTTTCTGTTCTGGCGGGTTCTTCAAAATGAAAGTGGTGAGCTTATCTCTCATATCCACATCTGATACAAAACCACAGGCAACACAATTTAACTGTAACATTTGATTCTTAGTAATCACTATCTCAGTCTCTGGATTTCCACAGCCATAACACTGCACATATTTCTTGATGAAAATCTCTAAAAGGCCAGCAAGCTTAGCAGTGTCATGAGAACCATTAACAAGAGATGTTCCAGTTTTCTCATCAAACTTGGATTGTGCACCAAGCTCGCACCCAAAATACTTTGTTGTATAAGAGGCAGGCCTTGCCAAAGCCTTAGCAATATCAACCATGTTCACAACATTTGTTTTGATGCCATTTCCTCGACCCTCAATTTTGGTTATCATTTTTGGCATCTTATACCTGTAGAAGGCATCGTCACTATTTCCAGCACCAATGTTTTGTAAAGCCATCTTGACTCAATGCAGACTGGAAGGCTAACTGTCACACACGGAAAATGCTGGAACTGGAAAGGCAGGCAGCAGCAATATTGTCTTCTGAGGCTTTTTGGAGAAGATAGGACTGATCTTTAGCAGTCAGGAAAGGTTGAAACCAGTTGCAATAATGGAACTCCTGATATTTTTTAAATGCCCCGAGATGCATATAGTCTTGTTTGCCTGACAAGGATCTTTTCTTTTTTCTTGACGAAGGACAATATAGTCCAAGCAACCCGATCAATCCCAAATCGTAAATGGCTAATATGGACATAAACGGAACTTCAACGTCGACAAGCTCAACTTCACCTTGAACGCAGATAGAAGCAAGACCTGCAAGATTCCTAAATACCAAGAAAGAGAAAACCAAGGACCATGTAAACTTGTTTAAGATCAACAAAACAATTCCTGATACTAAACAATGAACGGGAATCAGCACAACAAAGTTTTATCAAATAATGAGCTACTCCACAGAATGTAGAAACACCCATGCATGCAACAGCTATAGTTTTTTTAGTAAGAAACAAATAGCTATATTTGGACAAACTTACGGGAATTAATCAGATAAAAGCGATAACAAGCGAGATAAGGAGTTTGCCTCCAAAGGAAAAGTTACTAAACGACAATCAGGAATTTACTATCGCAACAGCTACAGTTTTTTTAGTACGAAACAAATTTTTATATCGGGATAAACTTATGGGCATAGATAAAGGCGATAACAAGACAAGCAAGATAAGGAGTTAGCCTCGTTAGGAAAAGTTATTAAACGGCAATCAGGAATTGAGTGGTTAACAGAAGGTATTTATTCTCCCTCCAACTCAAGTACTGAATCTCGGAACAATTCTATCCTGACATTTGAATACTACTCCAGCTAGTAGACCAAGCATAATTGCACATACGCTGCTCTTCTACATCACGTATCAAATGACCTTAAAGTATAATGGAACTCCGAAAAATGATCATCTAAATCGAAGGGATGAAGATAATATACCTCACGCTGAACTACAGGGTTTGGAATAATTTTATCGCACAAAATCATGAACTCTTTTGCTTCAAATTTCAGCTAAAAAGGATATAAGCTCCAATGTAAATGTGTATAAAGCAATATTTAATGTTCATACAACAAGAAGAAACCACACAAAAATATTTCAAGAAAATCAATATTTTAACCGCTGATTCTCAAAACAACACACAAAAGAAATAGTTCATGATCTTATGCATATTTCATTCACCTATAAACCTATCTTTCACAATCGGAATCGACAGGGCTGATTCTATCCAGATCTATCTAATTTAACACGCATAAATAAATAAAAAAAATCAAATTTCAAATAAAATTAAATCATTAACAAAGTTGATACGATCAAGAAATCCACATAAGTTTACAGATCAGTTAGAAAATCTGAGCTTCACTAAGATTCGCACCTTAAGAGTTGAATAGACAAAGATTTGTAGAAGAGCCGAGAAACGCTAGGGTTTTCTGATGTTATTGGCAGCAGAGAGTGGAAGACAAGCGATGGGTTATATAGTATCGGAAATGAGGAGGAGAAAGAGTCACGTGGTGCGAGCACCACATTAAGCACAGATGTTCGTCGATGAGATTTGTAGAATGAGGATCGTCAGATGCGTTGACTAATTGGGTCAGCTCTAGAATATTCGTCAGATCGGACACAAAAAGTTTGATATCATAATTTGATGATAAGATTTAGGTGTGATTTCCCGAAAATACCCTTGCTCGTCTCCTCTCGTATTTCAGCTAAACCATGATTTTGTTCTTGACCAGAAAAAAAGAAGGCGGCATATCTTAATTTTATATTCTTTTACTTATTTTATTTTTTTAAAATAAAATATTAAATCAAAATTTTAATACGTTCGACCTTAAAATATTTAAATAAAAAATAAAAAAAAATATTATGTAATTACCACGTACGCACTCCATTTATTATATTTAAATTATATATCTTATAACTAGCTTTTTTGGGCTAGTCGGCTCAGTACAAGCTGCAGAAGTGGCTCATGTGGGCCAAGCTTGGGCCACGTTCGGTGGCCCGGCCCATACGGGTCGGGCTTGGTCAATTAATTAATTTTTTTTAAAAATAATTAATTAAATTTTTAATATTGTAAACGTGTATAGATTTTAATGTTGTTTTTTTTATTTGTATTTTAATATTTTAAATATTTTTTCATTAAACTAAACTATTGGGTCATTCTTGACTGGAAGATTGGTCTCATTCTCTTCCTTCTGGAACTATATGTACAGGCCGCGTGCGTGTATATATATATATATATATATATATATATATGTGCAGACACACAAAAACACATAAACGTATGAAGGAATCTGAAGCTAATTTTCTCTGCAACAAAATTTTAGGAGAAAGAGTAGTTTTTTCCATTGTAGTAAACTTTCTGTAGAAGAAAACCCTTCAGGAAGGATCTCTCAGATATATGCCTAACCAAGGAGAAGAAGAAGAAGAAGACTTCTTTTGAGATATAAAACCTATACATACATACGTATATATATATTTATATATAACATATATGGCTTTCTCTCTATCTTCTTCCACAGCCAGAATTAACCCGTTTCTAAAGTACAATAATGCTCGTGGCCAACCCACCAAAGTTCTTCGAGCCCAGAGATTCAATGATGAAGGTAATTAATCATCAATTACTATTTATACATATATGTACATGAAATACTCATGTTGGTTTTGTGTGTGTGTATATATATATATATATATGTATAGGAAGTAGAGGGAGCAACATGATTGATGGAGCAAGTCTGAGTGTTTTAAAAAAGAGAATAGAAGAGGTGAAGATGAAGGAGAAGCTGGAGAGGTGTTGCAGATGTGAAAATGGCTGGAATTACAGACCAGACGGCCGTGGCTATTATAATTATCGTAAAAAAAACTACATGACCTTCTTCAACCTCTTGGGTTTGGTTGGTTCCACCATTGGCTTTACCTGTTTCACTGCTACAGCTTTTCTCTATCTCTTTTCTCTACTCATTCATTTTAATCTCAGCTGATCTTTAATTTATTTCCATTCTAATTTCTTCATCAGTTTAATCAATTATCATGATCGCATATGTAATATTAATTAATAATATTAATTCAAATTTGTTTACACCTGATCATACTTATCTCCAGAAAATAGCAGCCTAAACATAATATGTGTATAAAGAAAGAAGCCTCTAATGCAGAATTCTTTTGATTTGCATCCATGTTGATGAAATAGAATAATTCTATATATATATATACATATATATATATATATATATATATATATATAATAACAAGGCGGCCTTTTGAATTAAAGTTTTCCTTCCATGTTGACATGTAAAGTAGGTTGCTGTCTGGCCTTCCTTCAAAGAAAACTATAAAGGTTTACTCTGAACATGCATATATATATATATATATATATATTTATATAGACATATTAAATTATTTATTATCAACACGTAAAGTAGGTTGCTGTCTGGATCTTCATCCTCTCTGCATCTCAACAACTTCTCTTCCTTCCGCTCAGCTGTGGTGGAGGAAGAAGACAACTTATTCTTTTAATTTTTATTTTTATTTTTTTTCATTAAATTAAAAAACTGTATGTATTGAACTCGTTGTCACATATTACTTCTATGAAAATATTGATATATATATATATATATTAATGCTTAGTAATTAAAATAAATATTTTTTAGATATAGATGAACCAAAAATATAAAAAAATAGAAGATCAAACAATTTAAATGTTTAAAAGTAATCCTATAGAGATATATATATATATATATATAAATATATTTCACCTAGAAAAGCAACAAGCCCTTAGCCGGCATGAGAAACTGCCTGGCAAGCAATGAAGAACTCACTAACCTTAATTTTCTCTCAAACGATGGCGACATTCTAACCCTTCTAAATTGAGTTGCTATGTTAAATTTTGACAAACAGAGGAAGGTGGAAAGAAGATGTAAAACACAGTCTAGAAGATTAAAAGCTATGAAAAACTACTTAAGTTGTATGTAATTTGTGTCAATTAGCATCGTATAATTTTAACTAAGATAATTGATTTTCGTCATATTGATCGTTAGCGTACATCATGTCGTAATTAACATGATATACGCTAGCGATCAATTGACAGGATGATTAGCGTTGGCCCGAAGTTTAGAAAAATTCAAAAGAAGGGTGAATTGAATTATTAAAATTTGAAGATTTTAAAGTATACTTCCCAACTTTCTCTCGTATATGATGCTCGAATTACTACGATAGATAAGCTTGTTTCTATACGATTCTGTTCATGTTTTAATACGTATAAAATTGTCTGAGTGCTAGTGAAATATATTTTTAGCAAATAGGTTTTCACAAATGATAATGATGATACGCATGAGTAAAAAGAACTGAGAATATTTCTGATTAATTTTTTGAACGTATATATATGATGTGAGTAAAAACGTGATATCGAGTAATGATAAAAGACAGTTAAAATAAAGAGAAAAAGTAAAATAGTAAATTTTTTATAAAATTTGATCATACCAAAAGTTGACAGAGATGGATTAATTTAAAATTTTATTTGAACGTATAAAAATTAATTTTACGTAAAATCAGATGAACCCGAACAAAACAAAGATAATGAAAAAACAAAAGAAGTATTTAAATCCAAGTTCTTTTGACAAAAATGTTAATAATTATTTCTTAAAGATCTAGAGATCTACATACCAAGTGTTATATATATATGTATATATATATATATACATCCTTAAAAAATATTATATGGTACATGTTTATTCATCTTAAATTAGTATTTAAACTTTTCATCTGACAATTACAAGTGTATGTTTGGTTGATTCCATTTGATTTGAAAATGAAACAACCACCTGCATGCCTGTTCTTGGATAATGAATATATATATATATATATGTATGTATAATATACATTGCTATTACTTCATTGATTTGGAAATATTAACGAGGCAAATAAAGATAACTTCTTTAATTAATTTTTGCTTTAGCTTTTAGTGATTTTAAACACCTAATGTCAATTCAATTATATTTTAATAATTCCAAATTAATCTGAAAACACAATACCATGACGAGTTGTGCAAGGATTAAATTATGAGTTTCACTATATATACATATACATATATATATATATATGACATGCATTCAAGTTATTGTATTTAAATTTTGTGGAATATTTTACAAAGTTGTTGATATACATAAGAATTACTTTTCCTCACTATCAAAAGCTGCTAACTAGAAACTTTTTCTAATTATAATTCTCCAACTCTAATTTTTGATCCTTTCTTTTATGAGATTATGCATATATATGTGTTTGTATGTATGTTAAGAGAAATTTGTAACATTTCCTTCCAAAAGGGTTTGTGTTTTCGTATTACTTTAACATATATATATATATAAATATATATTGGGTTGAATTATAATGTTTATTTAAATCATATAATTGAATTCATATAATTTATACATGTACGTTGAATTGAATTTCATGTAACGTTTATTTAGGTTATATAAGTGAATTGTAAGTTTTCAAGTACTGATTATTAGAACAACAATGAGTAGAACTGGGAATGTGAGTTTTCTTAATATACCAGTTTATATCAGTTCGTTGGAAGTCTCGTAACTCGAAACATTTTTTGCAAACACATGATCTGTGGATCGCGATGTTCTCGTTACGTTTTTTCCTATGGCTCGTGGCTTAGTTCTTGAGTAGAGACATTGTGGGTGTTTGACAAAGCAAGGGAAACTTGTTCATGTATTTTCTTATGTTTTATGCGAACTAATGTGGAAGAGAGAAGCAAGATACTGAGTTTAGACTTGGAAGGATTTGAAGAAGGGAAGTAAAATAGCCATTCTTGCCCTACAGCATTATTCAAGTGGCAAGGAAGACTCTCAAAGAGTTAAAACAGGAGGGGATTGGGAGGAAGTATGTCAATGAATTCAGTTCTTAATATATTAGAGATTCAGAAATATGATTGAAGTGAACAAACCCTTTACTTTCATGGCTAGATTGAAACCAGGGGCATAAATGGAGTTACGATGAGTTGGTGTCGAGGATCTACCTGGTCCAACACATGGGGATTGAAGGGTCGGTAGACCTTCAACCCATAAAAGCAAAAAGGAGTCTTAAAAAGCAGGATATGGTGATTTCAATTGATTTTCAAACATAAATATTTCCCAGAATTAGATGATTCAATCTCCTGCACTCAAAACACCTGGAACATCATCAATTAAAAGACTGATCCTACGAGTAAGCCACCACCTATGACAAAAAGGCAAATCTATTCAGTTACGAACAAATGCAACCGTTGCAACACGCGAACCCACTGATCCACCAAACATGAACGTTGGGTATGTGCGAACATGATTGACATATTGGAAGGGAGGATCTCTGCAAACTTCTGAGTCAGGAACATCAGGATTCTGTGACAAATTAGCTTTTCTTTGGTTAAAGTTCTCTACTTCTTGCACCAATTCTTCTTTCGTGTTATTACATGATGTGATCACCTAGAGAAAAACCACGTGGTAAGAACCAATAGCCAATGGGCAAACAAAGTTGAAATGATCCAGTTTATGCAAACTAAATAGTTCATATCTAGAAAATAGCCAAGAAGAAGCTTACTAATAATCCCCCAGGAGCGACCAGCTTGGAAACTGAATCCCAATACATGATCCTGAAAGCAGGAGAAATTCAATCATTGCCCAATTTAAGTTAGGTAAGTAAATGGAATTGCCAACAAACAAGGAAATAAGTCATCTTGCTGAATATCAGTGATGCCTACATCAACAAACTGCAGTAGAAATGTGTACAGATGGGATATAAAACAAAAGGACATTAATTAAAAAGTTGCAGTCATGCCAGATCGAGTGCCTTTTTTCACAAAAATATAAATGTTTTTGCAATTATTTTTTTAAGTATAAATCAAATGCGATATACCTACTTAAAATGCTAATACAAAGATATTTTGATTACCTTGCCAGTTAAATAAAGATAATACTAGTCTATTACAGCTGGGCCATGTAATTGTTACCTTTTGATAGTGCCATCAGGATGTAATCCAATAGCATCCAGAGTTCCTTTATCCATGACAAGTTTAAACTGCCGTTCCAATTTTGTCTCAAGAACATCATCAACCTAATACACATACTCATCAAGATATTAATGCTGTAACCCATGTTCCAAACAACAACCATTGACCTTGTCTATGGTAATAAAATACTATGTGAGGCAATAAGGACATTGATTTTTCACGAGATGTACTCATAATACACATCGAAAACATACTTGTAGATTCAACTGTCAGTACTTCCTTGCTAAGAACAATATGAATCGCATTCTATTGCTGTCATCTTCTATAAAAGTGCAGTCATGCCTTTGTTCCAAATTTTTGTTTCAAAGGTTCTACAAGTAAGTTCAGTTATTCTTGTCTTCTAGACAAGTGCATTATGCCTCTGTTTCAAATTTCGGCTTCAAATGTCTTAATGTAATTCTTATGTATATCAAACAGAGAAAAATATCAAGTATGATACTTTCAGCTTGTTCCAATTGTTGTTTATCCTAGATCTACTTCCAGTAATTCTTTACTCATCTCAGGCAAATATGTAATCTGATCAAACTAAGTACTCTCTATAAATGGTTTGTCCACCAAGAAATAAAACCGATTCACCAGAAAAAGCGCATCAAAGAAAAAACTAGGGATTCCGTACCTAACCTACGTTTTGACAAAAGAATAGGGAAAGTTCTGAAGATGGGGCCCCATCATTGCAATAAACTAACAAGCCTAACAAAGAAAGACCCAATTTATAGAGCAGACAATCACTTCAGGAAGTAATGACAACCATATTAACATAACAAAAAATAAAACTGTTTTCCACGAGATTATAGACATGACAACATCAAAACTGCTTCCTGAAAGTCCGTTCTTACCAAAAAGTTAATATTGGAAAACCCATCACGATCAGCAAGCCTTTTAGCAAGGTCTATTGCCCCTTCACTGTAATCAATGCCTGTCAAATCAGAGAACCTGAGGGAAAAAATTTACTTGCTCAATGAGATGTCCAGGAGCACAGGCACATAAGCAGCAAATAAGAAAGCAAAACATGGCAAAGAGAAAAGAAAACAACAGAAGGAAAGAAAAGGAACAAGAGAGAATCCATATAACATAAAGTGTCATGAAGTTAACTCCATCCAAGGGGAGAAAAGGTTGTGCAATAGACTGAACTCCAATCCTTGAAGACCAAGCCCTTATCTCTGAATTGACAAGCATTCTTATCACATCATCACTTAAAAGCATGTCTATGATTCACCCATTACCAAAAAAGAATGAACATTGTGATTTAAGGATATTGTTAACCAAGACTTTTGGAAGGATGTGTGGTCTGGAAATTTTTCCCTTTGCTCATGTCCACCCCATCAGATAAAGAATGAGAAAGGACAGCCTCACTACTTGTGCCAAAACATTCTCATAACGGAACCAATCTTGAACTATCCCCAGTATAACAAAACATACATGCTATAGAAGGTTAAACTTGAAAGATAGAAAAGACAGACACCACAGCAGGTTAAACTCGAAAGAAAATTCCCTTGAAATGTTTACTATTTGCTAGACACTTGTATTCAAAGTTTGTTATCGAAAATGGTAGGAATTCTATATTGAAGTAGGAAATATTTCTCTATAGCTTTATGTAAGTCATTGCTGAGAAAGCTCTATACAATGGAAAGTCTAAAAATAGTAAGTCAAGATTCACTTGTTCAGTGAAGAATTGTTTGCAGAATACAATAGCAAAACCATATATTACCTATTCTGACGCTTCACCGCTAGAGAAATTTTTTTAGATAAGTAGATCAAAAGTTTTGAAAGGAATTATTCCATTTTACTTTCCAATCTCTAACTAGGATATCATGGCCGACAAATCTAAATTCCAGTTGTGGCTCTGACTTCATCCATTGTTGCATGATTGCTTTAAGACAAGTGGCAGTTAACATTATCAATCAAGCAGACACGGCAAGGGATATATAAGAATAAAAAATGTTGCTTTTCTATTGGTATCTTAAAAAGATTATCATAAAATCAATGTTGCATTATCATTATTTCCATTCAATTCTATAATCTAGAACATATGATTTACCATGTTATAATCTGTTATGACGACACCAAGGATCTGAACCAGAATTAGAGGTTAAACTGGTAACATTCAGTTGCCAAGTCTACAAAAGGTTTTCACATGATGAGCGTGAGAAGGCTTACCCACATAGCTAAGTATTTTATCTTAATGGTTAACTTCTTCTGTGTTTAGTTGGCAGTTGAGCCTTCAGGATACTGTAGTTGTTGAACTTGTCCGATGTAGGACAAATTAGGATAATTGATTTACTAATAAATCTAGCCTAGACATTACACCTAGAGTTCTTAAATATCACGCCCAAGATTTAAAGGAATCAAACAATCAAGTATTGAAGGATTCTCAAAATATGTTATTGAATTAAGAAGATTAACAAAGTTTTCTATAGAGTGCCAAATAGTCATTTTTCCCAGTAAGCTAGATTGAAAAATATTATAACTAATAAGATTAAAAATAGTACTCCTACTAAGATTGGAGATACTTCTCTTTTTTGAAATAAAGATTGGAAATATTAATACTGATAAGATTAGAAATACCACTCTTAACACAACTAAAAATGTTAATACTAATAGAATTAGGAATACTACTCCTAATAGAGATAGGAAAACAAAATATAAACAAACTGGAAAATGTAAAAATAACCTAAAGAATATAATAGTAAATTACTAAAATGCCAATGGGCCATCCTGTCAATCTCAATGCTCAGTTTTATGTTTGAATTTATATTTTTAAGGGAGGTAGTTCCTATCCTTAAGGAAGCAGTTGTGGTCTACAGTTTTAAGCCTTAAAAGGCTATTGTAATTTGAATAAAGTAAGCAGAGAATTAATCATAAGTTTCTTGAGAACCTTAAAGTCTAGAAGATCTTCGGTTCTCTCCTATCATAGTCAAAGATATAATCAAGATAGGTCAGAAAGGGAGAAAAACCAGAAATACTCAGGTTCTTCTTTATCTACGTTTAGTTTACAAGGACAAGAACCCAGAACTCGATCCAGAGAATTGAAACATACAACAATCAGCCAGTAACCATAGATTAATCTGAATTATTATTATTTTTTTTTTGAAAGAAAAGTGTAAAAAATATATTAATATGAGGTGTCAAGGGGGTGCCGCCCATGCACAAAAGATTTACAAGTCAATGAGAATATTTACAACTGACTCTAAATCTTCAAAATGGTTAATATTATGTTCCAATACAGTGGAACCCAAAAGTGTAGCGATTTGCTCACAATGTTGCCAAAAATTTCTTCCTTTCCTTCAAAGGTTCTATTGTTTCTCTCTTTCCAGAAAACCCAGAAAATAGTAAGCATAGATTAATCTGAATTATGCTCACTGCTGTCTTAAGTATTAATGACGAACAATATTTTCCAACAGTCATGGGCAATCATCTAAAACCACAGTTCTCCAGAATCATTTTAGTTTGAACATGACAACTTCTTCATCTGACCATAGTTATATTCTTCTGGTGCAGCTTCTTAATCATTTAAATTAGTAACTATCATTTTCCAGTGACAGGAACTAGACTACCAATTTGAAAAAGAAGTATGCATTGAGACAGAAATTCAACACTGGAAATCGATATCTAACTTTCAAGGACTGAAATTTGATAGGAAATTGCAAACTATAAATTCAAACATCGCATAAGGTCCACTAAAAAAAACTAGCAATTAGCATTTGAACATCCGCAATATCATATTATCAGGTTTCCTGTGGGTTTGTATGCAAACGAGCCTCCTTCATTCTGGGGTAGGGAGAAAAAGGATAATTTAGAAATAGACTTTAGAGTCAAATATCCATGTCTGCTGGTCGGTAAATTCTGACTCGCCCAGAAATTAGAGAGAAAAATGTTTGGTATAGTTTATTCTGTTTGATATGATCTGATCTCTTTTTTACAAAGGAGTACAAGATATCTATGTAGTATACCTATTATGACTAGGAAACTCGTAGATAGTTCAAAAAACTCCTAATTAGAGAAGTGAAACGAGTTCTAATCAAAACAAACTTATAAAAGAACTATCAGCAATTGTAAAAAGAGTCCTGAAAATCTGAAAATCCAGCAAGAATTATGATGATCAGTGTTAACCCTAACCCCATTTCAATGTTAGAAATTAGATTTTCTCTTGTTTTCACTCTTTTCTCCTGGATCAATTTCCTCGTGAAACTACTAATATCAAGTGAACATGTTGCATGTTTGCCAGCAAATCAGAACACTATATCTATAACTAAATTAAATAAAAGGAGAGAGGAGATATTAGACCAATATAAACTAAACTCAATGGATTAATATAGCATCTAATACCAGAACTACAGGCAAAATCTCAAAGGTGTACCCCTGCTTAGAAAGTTCTTGGAGAAGCAGACCATTTCCAGTCCCAATATCAAGCACACTCCAACCAGACAAATATTTATCAGGCTGTTCAACAGGTTCAGACTTGATGTCATCAAGATGATTTGGTATGTGACCTCGTGACATGTCAATACACAAGCTTTTAGTCCAAGAAGCAACAGCATCCATGACATCAGCTCCAAACCTGGAGAAAATTCAGTTGTGGGCAGATACTTTGTATTACAATACGGAATTAATGGGATATAAAAAAGGCTAGAACTCCTTTTGCAAGCCAATTTGCCTAAATCAACTTCCCAAATTTCAACATTTATTCCAATAGACAGTGTCTAACATGGGGTAAATATGGTTTTTGTGGAAAAATAGGAAAATATGATGACTTTCAGTTCCAACAACAGAAATATAGTTTTTCCTTTGCCATCAGTAAAATTGACAATGAAGGGCATGGAATACAAAATGGACAGAAAATTCAAAAGAAGAGTAACAAAGTATCTAGCAACCTTTGACATATATGAGAGCCTAATTGTGTTCAATGATTGCTCACCAAACTTCACCAGCATGGCCATGTTCCCGAAAGTTTGCCAACTCATCAGCATATGCAGCATCCCAGTAACTCTGGAGACCTAGCATTGATGGCACAGCTTCAACATCTGGTTCCTCCTTGTCAGAACTAGATGCATAGAACACAAAATCCATAATTAACTGATTCACATATATCCACATACAGACATCATAATACCCGATTAAAGCAAGAAACTGAAAACAGAAAATAAGAGACTGATGACATCATCTTTCAGGAAAACAAATAATCTAACAACATAAATGCAGAATCATGATATTTTACTCTTCTTCCTCTGTTAAAAAGTGCACCCAGAGCTTTACGCTGCATAATCCCTCAGGCAGATGCTCCTCCTGTTTGACATGAACTGTGTAATTACAAGGTCATTCGGATCTTCTGGGGGGGGTGGGCCTCTAAGGAATGCGCCTTTCTGGAGTTTCAAGCTAATATGATCACGTATCCCAAACCCTCATTACAGTTCTTATGTATGAAATCTTTGAACCACTGACATGTAAGTTAAAATTGACAAAACCAGTCCGCATGATTATCTTCCCTGAATAGGGAACTACCATGATCCCACCATATTCGGTGCAAATTGGTAACAGATCTGCTACTTGAAAAATAAAGGTACATGCACCACCAATAACAATAAGCACCAACTTGCAAGACATAATTACTCAAGTAAGCTACGTTCCATGTAGCGAGTCAGCTAACGGAAACCTTTCTAAGTCAAATCATAACCAAGTTTAAGCCAGATCATCCACCCTTCAAAATTGCCAACGTTCGTAATTGAAGCTCACCAACATTTGATTGGGAAAAGCAAACAGCCCTACCCAATAAATTCAACTCATCTATAATCAAGTAAAGGCAAATGAAGATGGAAAGAAAAACCTGGAGAAATAACCTAAATTTGCTCCTCCACTTTAGTACGTTTTCCAAACGAACAAACGAAACATAAAAAACATCGAGAAGTCGTTGGTCAAAGAAAACAGACCTATACTCGGAAGACGGAGGAAAATTAGCAGACGAGAGGGCCTCAGCGGCGTCTGCGTGGCGCTGCTCGTCATCGAGAGTGCTACCATAGTCGCTCTTGATGGACCAAGAGTCCGCCGCCACCGACCGCTCGTCATCGGAAACCAGATCTCCGGCGGCTGCCGCTCTCGTCGTCTGCTGCTGAGGGATCAGCTCCGATTCTTCCGGTGGAAATCTGATTCCCGCCATCAATTCCACACAGAAACACGAGAAGACGGAGAGAAAGGGGGAAAACGGGAGGGAGTTCGGGAGGATTTACGTGATGGGATTTGAATGTTGAAGGATTTGGAGCAGAGAAGGTCAGGCTGTGGAGATCTCTGAGAATTTGATTTGATAATTGCACGATGTTGGGTGTTCGGTGTTCCTCTTAGTTCCGCCGTTCATTACATCGACGGGTCAGATTGGGCCACGTATGATTTCGATTTATTTATTTATATCTAAATGTAAGGATTTTTTCTATTTAATCGTAAATACCATTTCTTAATTTTTTTTTTAAAAAAATAGTGAGTCCAAATTAAGAAAAAAAAAGAAGTAATTTATGGAAGAACACTAAAACTCAAATTTAGTTTATTAATAAATTATAAATTATAAATTATAAATAAATAAATAAACTAAAATAAAAAATGAAAAAAATTAAATAAAATAATTAAAAGAAAATAATAATTTTTATCATGTGGGTCTCACTGAAAAATATCCCAAATTTGCATGAAATTCCACCTTTCTTTTCTTTTCAAAAAGTATATATGATAATTTAAAAACTTATTAAAATTTTGTAGTTAATATAAATTTATAACTAAGGGGACAAAATTTCTTCTATATATTTTTATACATTATGCTATAATTTTAAAGCATCAATATAATTTTCATTTTTTTTAAATATTTTTATGAATTTAATTACAACTTTTGTCGTATTTGAACGAGACAAATAAGAAACTTAAAAACATAATTCTCCTACAATATTGTTATATATTATAGTTTATAATAAAGTAATTACACTTTTTAAATAAGTTAAGATTACTCATTACTTGTTAGAATATTTGACTTTTATATAAAATTCATTATGAAACAAAAGGAATTTATGTTGTTTTCCTTTAAAATTTTAATAGGTATATAAATAAATTTATATATCTAAAGATAATATTTTTTTTTTAAAAAATTAGATCCAAATCTAACGTGATTAATAGTTGAGGGTCTTAAAAATAATTTTCTTTTCTTTTTAAAAATATTCGTAGATGATTTTTTTGTATACAGTCAAAATGCTTATCTTTATCCTCAAGCTCTCTAAAATATTCGAATCGTATCATCACTTTTTTTCTTTTTTTATTTTTAAGTTAACTTTTGACTTTCTAAAATGTTCAAATCGTTCTCTTATCATTACTTATCGTAGATGTTGTTAAAGGTCGATGATATGTACAATCTTAATCCACATAGATGCCATATGTATGACATATGACAAGTGTTTTAGGGTTTAATGTTTGAGATTTGAGATTTATAGTTTTAAAGCTCAAACTTTTAGTATTTGGAATTTAGAGTTTAAAGTTATAGAGTTAAGACATTTATAAATTAGGATTTAGGATTTTAAGGTTTAGGATTTAGCGGTTGAAGCTTGAGATTTAAGATTTTAAGGTTTAGGATTTAGAGTTTCGGTATTAGTTAAATATTTGCTTTAAAGTTTTAAGTTTAAATTTTTAGAATATAAGATTTAGGGATTAGAGGTTTATAACTTAAAGTCTAGAATTAGTGTTTAAGATGTTAGAATTTTATGTTAATAGTTTAAATATCTAGCTTTAAGGTCTATAATACACGCTTTAGGGTTTTGTGTCTTACACATCAAAGTTTAATGTTATAAGACAACTACGTAAATACGGGCTATCCCCTTATTCGATGGTTATTAAGCTCGAAGCATTACAAAGTAAAAGAAGTCCCCAAGGTCATATCAAATAAGTTTAGAAAGTTTCTCAGCCAAGTAGCATATATTCTTTCCGAAAAACTCTAAAATATATATTAATCTGTTCAAGTACGTAAGATTAAAAGAATATTTCTAAAAAATTATAAAATATAAAATTTTACTAGTTTTTCGAAAATTATACTCTTAATGGTGTTCGAAATTTATTTATTTATTTTACATTTTTATAGGACAACAATACTATTTAACTTATGATAATATATTATAGTATGATAATTTTTTATGTATATTCTTCTTTTAGTGAATATTGGTAAGTGCTCAATTAAAATTTAAATTTTGAGTTTAAATGAACATTATATATATTGTATTTTGCATTGATTCACTTCACAATAATAATAAACATATAATATTTACACGAAAATAAAAAAGAAAATATACGATTTATATTTATTCCACTATGGGCCAAAACCCCCATACTCCTTTTATTTATGAATAAAATTATATTTTTGGTTCCTTATTTAAACAATATTTTGGCTTTGCCATTGTTAATTGACATTTTACTTAAGTAAAATAAATAATTCCGTATTCATAAGGGAATCTTTATCGAAGGTAAGAGGATCACTTTCAAATTTTTGAGCAAAATATTCAAATATTTTATCTACAATGATCTCTCCAAATTGCACCCTTATAACTCCTTTCAGAGTCGATCTTAACAAAGTAGTAAGAAGTTGAGAATTTATTGACGTACTTTTCATTGGATTGTCTAGAAGCTCAAATCTTTCAATGCTGAAATATCTATTTTTCTCAATCAACACCTTTAGCTCACTAACATGTGAAAAATATAAAGGCAAGTTGAATGAGTCCACTTTTTCTGCATTAAGTAATCCCTATAAGAATAAAACTCAATATTAAGTCTTAAAACATATTTCAAGCCAATATATCATCGAGCTACTATATATTCTCAAATTTAAGCAAGAGTCATGGATTGTAGTTTCTTACCAAGTTGGCCATATCCATCAAGCAAGATCCAAGAAAATCATAACACATACCCATTGCAGATTTAGATAGTAGAACATCATCTGGCAAACTATTATAAGAATTACCATCAAGCCACCAGGTACAAGCTCTTGGGCTCTTGCATTTAAGAAATTGTTTAGCCCTACATGAATTGAGACACGTATATCTTAGCTACTTCCTTTATTAAAGGCAGAGCATTGGATTGTTGTCCTTATTATATGCAGAAGAATTTTTATCTAATAATTTCCTTTGGAACCTC